AAGAGACCAGTAAAGAAGACTCAGTAAAGAAGATTGGAAGAGACTTTCACTGGCAGGCAGGGAAATAAGACTGTAAAAAGTATAATTACTTAAGAATTCTTTTGTTCTGGCTCCCTCCCCGGAGGCACCCAGCTCAAGCTGTTACTTTATCGTACTGTCATTCAAATAAATAATTAATTTAGCTGTTGTACGTGCATGAGACTCTGCTCCTCGGAAACCTTGGGTCGAACTGTTTCCACAACACAATTCGAGTTAGGTTTGTGACAGTTCATGTGATATAACCCTACAAATGAAAGTGCTATGTACGCAGAAGCATACCATCTGTAAATGTGGCAGCGCAGCAGCAGGGTATGCTGGTACAGACTGACGTGCAGCCTTGCAGGAGTAAGTGCAGGTAGACTCTGGGCACTCCAAGCAGCAGCTGCTCTAGAAGCTGTCCGCACTGACTGTGCAAGACAAGCACAGCCATGGTATGCAAAGAAGCATGTAGCTAAGGTATCCTCAACGGTGTCCCTGTAGACAGCCTACGTGAAGAGTCAGGAAATTCAGCCTTAAATAGACTGTTAGTGTCCTCCTATAGAACTGTGTAGATGTAGTACAGAAGAAAGCAAGCCTCAGGAACACTAAACAAGGGATGAAATTCACCTCTCCAGAAGACAGCATCGAAGTTCGCACATCATTTGGACAACATTGTTAGGGCTGAAGTTTATAGTTTCACTGGCATAAGGCACAGGTGAAACGTCACTATCTGAATAATTAAAAATTATTAGCCTTGGTATTAAACTGGATTTTTTGTTTACATTTTTGCACGCACTTGACGTTTGCACTGTGCCATCTGTGTGAAAGCAAAAAAAATTGAAGCTAGTCCTCTGAGTTCTATTTGTAGATCATTCTCTAGAGAAAGTTCTGTTTATTATATGTTATTAGAATATGAGATAAAACGTTTCTAAGTTTATAAACCCTGAATAGTTTACAGGAACAAAGGAAAAACACAAGGACAGCTAGAGATTACATGGTGTTGAATTTCCACTCTCTGCCTACACTGTGCATAAAACCATTAAACCCATTTTGACAAAACTCAGAGTTCTTCCTTTAAATTATGAATTGCAGTAATCATTTTACTTACAGAGATATCAACTAATTCTCATTGAAACTTTGAAAAGCTTGCCTTTTACTTAATTAAGATTAGGTTAGCAACGATATTTATCAAATAGGAATGAATTTATTTCCTGAAAGTTATAATTTACTGCAAAATATATAAAGATTTTAACAAAGGACTCAAAGATAAATGGTATGTTTCTCTTTGTGAAAACTGTTTATGTAATTTTGAATTTTTTTACAACTTGTTAATAGACTCTGCACAAACTCTTAACTGTTTATTTTAGTCATATTAGAGGGAAAAAATTTTTTGTTCATGCTGAAGTTACTCTTATGGTTTATTTACTAAAGCAAGTTAAATATTTAGATAACCATTTCACTCAGAAAAAAAAGATTTGTGGTCAGGATGTAGCTATAGCATTTCTTTTTTACATTAATTCTTAACTAGTTAATTCTTAACTAGTTATCGGTCTCTGATGTTCACTATTTCAATATTTTATTGATAAAGGTACGCAATGTTGTCAAATTCATAACATCTTTAAAAAGTCAAAAGGTAGATTACTTTCCATTTGAGAAAAGAAAAACTTTTGGTGCTGTTCTTTAAGTTTTTAATTCTTCATGGGATCTAGGGTAATTTTGAACCATAACTCACACATTTAATAGTAATGACACCCAGGGAAATATTTTATGTGATGAACACAATACATGCACATTAATAATAATATACACAAAAAAATCTAAGTGCACAATATAATTATCATTTAATCTTAAATAGGTAATAAAAGATTATTCAAGGTGGTTTTCCTTCTGCATGTTTTCACAGTTGAAAAGGAAGGATTACTTTGTTGCTTCCAGTTAACTTCCATTTCTTCAGATTATAAACATTTTAATTGTTCAAATATGTCATTATTTGCTCAAAAAGAACATTTATTTATTAGCAACTAGATACTCTTTGAGAAAAACCCTCTATGTTCACATCATCCTGTGTTTATAAATGTAAGAAGTCACACAAGAGATTTTTAGTTTGCTAGTACCTGCAGGGCTGTTTCATGTTCTGCTTCTGCCACACACACACCATACACACAGAGAGATGGGAAATGCCCTTCTGCCTTTAATTCCTTTTCAGTCTTGAAGAATCTCTGTTTAAACAAATTAACATAACAAAACCACCCATGACTGGTATATTCACTCAGTAAAGCTCTTCAAAACTAGAAGTTTCTGTCTCTTAATTTTCACTACAGAGATCTCTCGGGTTCTGAAACTGCTTTTCAAAGACTATCTCACTGGATCAGAATAATTCAGGCTGCAAAGGACCCCAAGATATCATCTAGTCTAACCTCCTGCTCAAAGAAGGGTGGAGTATCAGGTCAAATCAGGCTGCTCAGGGCATTATGTCATCAGGTAAAAAAACCTTCAAGGATGGAGACTGCACAACTTCCCTGAACAGCCTGCTATATTGCTACACTATCTGCATAGCGAAAAGCTTTTTACTCTATCAGTCCTGAGGCATTCTTGCTTCTATCTTTCCTCCCCCCACCATGTACCACTGTGAAGAGCCTGGCTCTCCTCTCAGCGACCTCCCTGCAGCCACCGGCAGGCTGCTGTTTGGTCCTCCCAAACCCCTCTCTTCTCCAGGCTCTACCAGCCCTGCTCCCTCAGCCTCTCCTCACAGGGTGAGTGCTCCAGACCCCAACCATCCTGGTGGCCCTCTGCTGAACTCACTCCAGCGTATCCATGCCTTCCTGCACTGGGGAGCCCCAAACTGGACGTGATACTCTAGACGTAATCTAACAAGGGCTAAACAGAGGTGGATAATCCCTTCCTTTGATCTATTGTGGCTGGGCTCCTGTCGATACAGCCCAGGGTGCTGTTGGGCTGCTGTGCTGCCAAGGCACGCTGCTGGCTTACACTCGAGCTCCTCGCCCCTCAAGACCCCAAGGTGCTGCAGAGCTGCTCCTGAGCCAGTCAGTTCTGGCCTGTATCACTGCAAGGGGCGCTTCCTTCCAGGAGCAGGAACTGGTATTTGTCTCTTAACCCCAGCAGACGAACCAGTGCAAGGCTGACAACCACCGCAGATGCAGCAGGCTCTCGCCCCCTGTGCCCCAACGGCAAGCCAGCACAGCCAAACTGCACTCGGGGACCAGGCTCCCAGTCTCTCTGCTTCTTATAAGGCTACGAGCCTGGCTGAACCCACCACCTCTCAATGGCTGTCAGTGTGAACTCCTACCCCTGAACGCCTGTCAGTCTGAACCCCCCACCTCTCAATGCCTGTCAGTCTGAACCCCCATCTCAACGCCTGTCAGTCTGAACCCCTACATCTCAACGCCTCCCAGTCTGAACCTCCCACCTCTCAATGCCTGTCAGTCTGAACCCCCCACATCACAATGCCTGTCAGTCTGAGCTCCCCACCTCTCAACGCCTGTCGGTCCGAACCCCCCACCTCACAATGCCTGTCAGAGCTCCCCACCTCTCAACGCCTGTCAGTTTGAATTCCCACCCCCGAACGTGTCAGTCTCAGCCGCTCACCTCTCAATGCCAGTCTGAATCCCCCCCATCTCAGCACCTGTCAGTCTGAACCCCTACCCCTGAATGCCTGTCAGTCTGAACGCCCCACATCTTAACGCGTCAGTCTGAATCCCTACCCCTCAACACCTGTCAGTCTGAATCCCCACTGCCGAACCTGTCAGTCTCAATCCACCACCTCCCAAAGTCTGTCAGCCTGACCCCCCCACATCTCAACGCCTGTCAGTCTGAGCTCCCCCGCGAACGCCTGCCAGTCCGCTCGGGGCTCCTTAACGGTTCCTCGCGCCTGGCCCGCACGAAGCGCCCACAGCCC